ACATTTTGGCCTGCAATGGAAGGGGCAAGGCAGGGAAGTTGCAATTCATGGGTAAAGATTCCTTTCATCTGCAGCTACAAGTCATACTTTTGTCATTGGAAAAAAGTTTAGGGAGTTAGAATTCCAGTGGGGGAATATTTTGATCACGGAGAAAAGCTCTTCAAGATAAGGAGTCACTAGTTGGTTCTCAGAAACCCAAAACTGGGCTTTCATCTATTGCAATGATACTACCAGTGCACCTGACAGGTTACCTTGAAAAAGGGAACAATATCTTCTTTGTGATATATATAATATATAAGATTTACAAACAGAAGGATCTTCAAATATTAATTGCTATGTTTTGTAGGTGAAATCGTTTGAAAAGGAAAGGCAGATAGAGAAAAGGATTTTGGAGACTGATCTAGTAGACCATCTGGCCCAGAAACTGAGAACTAAAGTCTGTGATGAAAGAAGTAACAGGTAGCTGTTATGCATTACTGGGGAGGGGGGAGGGGTTGAATACTTACATTTTGTTGGAAACAAAAAGGACAGTAGTTGGAAATGTGTAGTGTATAATGGAAATGTATAATACCAGGCATAACTCTCCCTGCCTGTTCGACATGCCGTGCAGCTCTTTGTATAGGCAAAGTTACAGGTGGATTGTGCCAAGAGATTGGTTCAATAACTACAGATTTTACAATAAGTGTAAATACCAAACATTGTATGCTGATATAGCCGCTTAACAACTCTTGATGATACCTAAACTATTAATACATACTTTGCATAGATAGACAGGGTCTCTATTATAGCTACAGCCTAATTTCATTCTGCCATGATATCAGGCACTTGAAAGGCTTTGGAATGTTTTGATTCCTGTCCTGTTTTTATCAAATGCTGAAGAACAGAGTGCAATATTTTGTAACCTTTAGAATGACTGGTTTACTTGATTTTTTATTTTAGAGAAACCTCAGATAATTTGGCAGTACAGAATCCAAAGGGATCATTCTCTAATACTTCTGGTATGTAAATCATAGGTATTATAACAGATAATAATACAACACTGGACTACAGAGCTTCTAACTGTAAAAGACATAATTTTTAAACTGCATACTAAAAATACTTTTCAGTTTATACATTTTTAAATGGAAAATTTTAGTAAAACTTCCTGTTTTCTATATATGTCTTTAGCTTTACAAGAAACCAGCAATAGTTTTCGGTAGTCGCATAGTGCAACAGTTGTTTTATATTACTGTACTTGTGTATGTGTGTGTACCAAAGGGGAAAAAAATTAATGCTACCTTTTTGGGCCTTAGGTGTGTTTGAACCACATGGAACTGCAGTGATACCAAACGTCTGTATTGTTGCATCAGAGAAGTTGTCTGCAAGTGCCAGGCGGCGTTGTGAAATTCAGGTATTGCAGACGTAGCCTCCCTCTGTCTCTATTGCTATTTACTTCTGATTCTGCACCCTCACCAAACACAGCTCATGTGTGCCAGAGGAGAAAGACCAGTGGGATAAACCTGCAGTAACTGCAGTGACTTTCAGTGAGTGCTCAGCATTTTATTTAGGATTGCATTATAAACATTAGACTGAGGCAGAGTTTCTTAGATTTCCTCCATTTCCACTAATTCCTCAATGCCACCTTCCCTTCCAGCACACAGTTCTTCTGTAGAGCTCTCTGTTTCATGATTTGGATCTTCACTATTGTCTAGAAATAATAGTACAGGCAAAACCAATAAGGGGCATTTAATGGAAAATGCCTAATGCATTTCAGTGCTCTGCTGCAATGAAATTTGTACAAGAGTAAAAGAGACATACTCTCTTTTTTGGCAAAACAAACAGGAAAGTTGTGGATTGGAGACACAACTCCTTTATGGCTTGGCAAGATCATATGAAGCTACCTCATGCTAAGTCCACGTATTCATCCACCCTCAGTCTTCTCTACTCTGCCCAGGATCTCTCACAGAAAAGTATTTCTCAACAGCTGCTGCCTGAGATACTTTTACTGGCGATTCCAAGGATTCAATCAGAGGCCTTCTGTATGCAAAGCAGATGCTGTACATCTGAATGAAAGCCTCTTTGACTGTAATACATGTATGTTTAACCTTTGAACTAATTCCCCCATAGAACAGCACTAACACACATTGGGTGTTCTCTATTAAACAATATTTGTAACTTATTTCTTTCATATAATAGTATTTGAGGGGGGTTTGATGTGGCCTTCCTTGTTAGCAATCATATAATTTTTATATCGTACAAGAATAGAATTAACAAAACATAAATCCGTCACAAAAGGTTAGCCATGCAAATGTATGTGTAAAAAAATATTTACAGCGCTATTTATCATGTACTATGGATTGTGGGAAAGTCCCTTCTGTATATTGTGTGAAACAGCTCATTGAAAGTGTGACCTGAGAGCAGCATAACTTTTAATAAGAGTACTTAATTGAAAAGTAACTTCCAGTTTACATATGCTAATTTCTTTATGAAACCAAATGTGATTTTCAGGTACAAACCAGACTCCAGACCTGCATTGCTACTCTGCAGCAGAAGACAAGTGAAGTTGAAATTTTAGCAGTAAGTCACTTAGTTCTAAAGACTCTTGTCTTCACGAGTTTAAACAATGTTGAGATACAAAACTGACAAGCAGGCCTCAGGGATGGTACTGCAGGTGGTATCTGTACTCCTGACACTGCAAGAGGGTATAATGATTGAGTTTTCCAGTTAGGTTTATGGTAGCTGGCCTAGTAAGTATTAAGCAGAACATGAAGGAGGGCATGAACTTCACTTAGGAGTCTAATGTGTCCTGTTTTCAGATGTTCTGAGTAGCACCATTTCAGAGTACCAAATTTTTAAAAAGATTCACTTAAGGTACAGCTAGAACTTGCCTCTCAAGCATACCCCAAATTTCAGCTATCATAATTTATTTATTTTTTATTTTTTATTTTTTTGCAGGTAGATCTGCCAAAAGAAACTATAAGACACTTCTTATCCTTAGAGGTAAAACAATGAATTTCTAAGTCTAGTCTTTTAATTATCTGTCTTCAGGTTCTCTACTGTAACAATTCCAAATTGAAAATACCAATGACCAAGCTGATCTTCTCAACCCTTAAAGTAGAAGTATCTGCCATGGTCTCATATTTTACCTCTAAAATAAAATAGTTGCTTTAATAGATTTCCCCCCTTTTTAGTGTGATGCAGATGAACAAACATTTTATATGACGGTGAAAGAACTGATATCACGATTGCCAAAGCAAAAATATTTAGAATCTGTTTGTGATGAAATCTACAATATTAAAATCAGAAAGAGGTAAGAACTTGTATGAATAATAAATGATAATCTCCTGTTTAACATAAGTAGTCTGATGCTTTCAGGAAGAGCACTCAGTAACAAAATCTGTAGAAACTATCATTTGAATGTAGATATGCAGTTCTAATGGTCCTATGTCACCAGTAAATCAGAATCTAGGGTCTGACTATACAGCCATGTATCCATTGCTCATTAGTCCTCACCAATTCAAGGGGTGCCACTAGGTTACCATTTGGAACACAGTTCAGAGCTGGCATTTATGGCAAACTCTACAATCACTAGAAACATGATTACCTTTCACCTCACTACTGACTTTGGTAAGGCTATTGTAATGTACTCTACATGGGTCTGCACTTGGAAGTCAACTCTGAAACTCTAGTACGTATAGGAAGGCAGAGTATGCATCTCACAGCCATTCTGCAGTCACTCTATTGGTTACTGATCGAATACCAGGTTCAGTTCAAGGTGCTGAGGTAAAAAGCCCTTCGTGGCCTTGGACCCACAAACCATATCCTACTATGCTCAGATATCCAAAGTTCATGTCACAAAGTGAAGTCCTGCTGAGGGTGCTGCCTTGCAAATGTGTAAGACTGACAGCTGCCTGTACGAGTACTTTCTGTTGTGTCTCACCTTATGTAATGGCCTGCCTGAGATCAGAAAGGCTCCCAACCATTTTGCAGAATGTCCAAACCAGAAATGTTCAGAAGGGCATTTTATAAAATGGGTTAAGTGCAGGATAATGGAACAACTCAGGAGTATGCTTTTATAATGTTTATTGTATAGATCACCTGGGGGGGGCAGGTTACTGATTTTTACTTCTAAATTTGTAACCCACTTTTTGCCATAAGGCTTAGTTTTTTGTTTGCATTGTTTTCTAAATCTGTAATCCTATTGTACTATTTAATGAGATGGTCTTATTGAATATTTAAAATATGTTGTAATTTACTTTGAGTATCAGTGAGAAAGGGAGAGGTTTATAAGTGAAGCAAATAAATGTCATTCATTCACAAGTGCTGCATGTAGACTATTTACCTATTATCAGCTAAAGGAATGCAGAGTTGGTGAAATATGTGCAAACTTAAGTTCCCTTGTAATCAGGTTTTCTAAATGCTTAAAGTAACTATTATTTTTTTGTTCTCTCTCATTTATCCTTTCCAGAGTGCCTCTTCTTGTCCTGTACAGTTACAGAGATGACTACTACAAAATTCTGTTTTAGTCACAAGTGTTATATCAGTAGGATCAGAGGCAGTATTATAACATGGAACCAAATACATCTTACGTTACTGTGAAGAACTATTTGCACAACATTATTATGGGACAATTATGGCCTTTTGAGTACTCAGCTTATCTTTTTCCTTATGTATTATCTGAAACTGTAAATCTTTCTCGTATATGTATTGTACAGAAGCCATTTTTATAAAGTGCTGTTTTGACGCCTGGGCGTGCTGCTTGTTCTTGGTCTAAACTGAAGCCATCTTGCGAATCTAGTAGGACTACTGGGAGCCAGGGGCACTAAAATAGTTTTCAAAGTTCCTGAATGCCAATTGGTTAGTAGAATTGAAGATTCACAAAAAGTAATGTCATTATTTTCAGTTAGGCTGAGCCCTAAATATACAAATTGGTTTCCAGCAGCTCTTCCATCTCTCTGCAACCAGACCTAATGCTGTAAAGGGTCTCAAGTTGTTGGAGGAAGATATCATACCATTCAGTATAAGAGTATTTACAAGTATTTATTTTTGAACCATTTCTCAAAAGAATAGTTACCCAACCACAGCCCCTCTGCCAGAAAACAGTACAAATACAAAACTAATCAGTAGTTAATAAATGGCTCTGGTGCATATATATGTGTGTGGGGGGGGGTATTTTTTGCCTACCACAACCCAGACTCTCTGCTTTCAGGTTTTTAGTACAATGCTTAGATTCCAGTTAGCAGGTGGGGTGGTGATATGAAGAGTAAACATTAATTACGAGGATTTGGGTCCACTGGAGAAATACTTGCTCCATCATTGCATTGCTTTGCTTTTCTTATTTTTGCTTTTCTTGTCTTTCTTCTTTAAGCCATCCATGTTAGCTCTGAGCAAATTGGAATAGGCCTGCAACCGAAGATAAACACTTAACACAAACGCCACTGTTACATGAAGGTTCTTGAGCAGTTTCATTTCTAATATGCTAGTATGCTTAAATGGGACCACCATTTGTAGAAAGTACTATGAGGTACAGTAATGGGCACAAATACATTTTTAGTTGGAAAACCCTTTGAAGTACCACTGTGCTTTTTGATGGCAGTACATAAGATTTTTAGGAATATTTATGGACCCATATCACACTTCTCAGGCGCACAAACCAAAAGCACCACACAGAGGCAGCCACTCAGAAAATGATGGTATTCCTGAGGTACCCTCTCCCCTATCTTGGTAAAACCTAGTTATAACCTTGTCCTCCCTAAATACCAAAGAGAAGGACAGATTTAACATAAGAAGAAAAGGGTTTATTTTTCTGGGAAGGGAGGCTAGTTGCAGACATTCACAACCAACTACATAGGCACACAAACAACACTTCCTTGACAGACTAATACCGGGAGGTATTCAACCCACAGACCTCCCCCTGCTCCATAACTTTCCCCATTATCACAAAGACTGTCTGTGAGCTTTAAACCAGTGAGTGCCATTCCATGTCACCACACTAACTGAGTCCACCTCCACCTAAAGCAGCTGTAGATAAGAGTCAATCCCTAACCTGGCTAAACGACTCTCAAGTGACACTTAAAACTCGCTTTTTCTTTCACCCTCTCTCCCTCCAAGGGTCCTGATGGTCTGTTTTATCTCCGTCAACCACACCAATAGCCTAAGATGGGACTTGCCTCTGTCCATCACAGTGGCACAGTCCATTAGAAAGCTTACTTTTAAAAATTAATTCATAAAGGTAATATCAGGTATAAACTTACCATTTGGAATTTGTTTACTTCCTTTGAGCTCACCTATAAGGAATCATTCAAAATGTTAAAGAACCTTACTGTGAAATTAAGTGCCTGTTTTGTTTACACATTCACCAAGACCTATTAATCCCCACCAATTGCTACTTTCAGCTGAATTTACTGGGTTAGAATCTCCAGAACTCTCTTTACTAATAGCACCATTCTGCTGCCACAAGACAGCCCTTGAACAAGAAGTTCCATAGGATCCACCCCTTAATGTCTAATGTAGGACACTAATCCAGCTCAATGAACTGAGAAAGACTCTCTTAAAGCATCTTTAGATTTAGCATGCAATTTGGAAAATTTATGGACTTGGGAGCAATAACTATGGAGATGTCCTTATGATAGCCCCTTATCCACTCTATAGGATGCCTCTCTTTTTGATCACTTACATTTGGATTCTACTGAATGAAACCAAGGGCTGCTTACCACTGTACTTATCTTTTTCTTCCCATCTGTTGCTCTGAGAAGACATTTATTATCTACAGGCTCAAAACCCTCCACATGGCCCTTTCGTGGGATGGGTCTTGTCCTACCATCATCTGTATTAAAACAAAATAATGCAAAATACAAGCTAGCAGAGACTGTTTTTTAAGGTCCAAGAATGGCAAGAAAAAGCTGAACTGTAGGTCTGCACTTCTACAACTTTTGAGTTTTACACTGTATTAGAGATTCTCTCAAAAATTCTGAATTGGAGGAATGAGAGCTAGTTTAGAATTTTACACTGTAATGTGTACAGCTGAAATAGTTAAAGGTGGCTTTTTCTGCCAGCGTGTCATTACAGAAACAAACCTGGGGAATCCTCAGGGATGCACTATCCACCTACTCCTTTTCTGAGACTCCAAAATTATTTCTGTGCTTACATTTGAACTGCAAACTATCAAACCACAATTGGGTTTAGAGAAAAAAACCAGAGTTTGTTGTTCAGACATAAACAACAGCTTGCTCTAGAAGAGATTAAGGTAGACCTGAGGGAGGGATCACATGAACCTGCAGATCCCCCAAGCTTGCTCTGAAACAATGTTTGTCATTACATGTAAATCATGGCGATGCATGGCTATTCACTAAATGCTGAATATCATCTCATATCCCGATCCTGCAAATGCAGCCTTAAATATCTGGTTCAGAAACAAATATCTTTCCACATAATAGAAGAAAATGAAGCAAAAATGTACACACTTCCATCTAAAAAGCTCATGTGCCCCAGTTACAATTCAAGCGCACAGCAAATAACATACAGCTTATCCTGTCCTATTTTGCCTACAATAGTGAGAATGAGACAAAAGCTTTTAAGCCTGGGCCTAAAACCCACTCTTTCAAGGGTTTCATTAAACTCCTGAACATTTTTGGCACTTCTTACCCAAAGTCTGTTTATACCCATGTATCTTTTCTGAAGCGGCCTAAAATTTTATTTGGCCTTCTTGAGAGCAAAGCAAAGCTAACAGATGATAAAAGCACATCAGCTGGAAGCAAGAAAAACCCTTATGATGCTCTTGCAGCCCAGCTTACAAATACACCATCCACTGCCCTCACTGGTTAAACTAGCCGTAATTCTTGTTATTTTTAGAAAACACCAGTATTGAATGCCTCACGGTTTCTCTCACTTAGGAACGAAGATAAAATGTAAGGCAAACATACTGACAAATGTAATATTCCCAGCAACGATAGTAGTAAATACAATACTCACATTTCTTTAACGTTATATAAACACTGCCTGTAGTCCTGCATTTCTGAAAAAGCCTTGTTAGCTCTGTCAAGAACTACAATTTAAAAAAAATTTAAGAATTGTCAAAAGAAAAAAACTTAAGTTTTAAACAGTTCTTGTTCAACTTCTGTTAACAGTGTAGTCTGGTTTCAGGACAACCTATAACAATGATTTCTCTTTTACAACCTTAACCTGCTCAAAACATTTAAATACACACCCGAACAAAGTCAAATAACTTTAAGCACTGCCATCTTGGGACATCTTAACAATGGACAGATTTAAACCTGATGACTGTCAGTGGTACCACTGTTTGATGCCATCTTACATTTAGACTCCATAGGAGGGGCACACAAACTAGGAAACCTTTATGCCAATTAAAAGTTGTCAGCAAATTTAAAATTTCTCCAAAGTGTTTAGCAACTTAAAGTAAGATGTTAACTTAGTATCTGAGAGTCAAAAATTGGGAGAAGGTAAAGGGGATTTTTGCAGAATTTGAATTCACTTCAGCATTTTCAATGATCCTGTTTTCATTTCCCTCTCTATAGCACATGCAAGTCTGCTGCACAAAGAACAGGATCTAATGTGTGATAAGCCTAAATCCTGGATTTTGTCGAATAAAAAGATGAAAGCGCTTCTGAGCAGCAGCAGAGAGTATTTTTCTCATCCCCATAACTAGGGTTACTAGCTATGCTCTTTTTTGTTGTGTGTCCTTTTGGATTCTTTTAAAAAAAACTGATGAAAATGACTTCTTTTTGGATTGGAGGGTTAGGAATATTCCTAGTTAGTAGTAATTATCACATCTTAAATAGTAGGGGTATTTAAAATGAGATTTGTCATAGTGATCAGTCAACTGTTTGAAGTAGTCCGTCAAGAAATATGTCCTTTTTTTTGCTTTTCAAAATATGGTAACTACCAGAACTTAATTGAGAAAAGGCTTCCAGAGCACTGAATGGTGTGATTCAACATCAGCCTCTCTTTCCTCAAAACCAGGCACAAGGAGGAGTCCCTTCCTCGGGTTTCCAAGTCAGATTTCAAGAGAAGGTGACAGAGAGACCAGCGCTTGACGCGTTAAGACTAGGGAGCCCATTTTGTCAAGCGCCCCCTCCCACACACACACTTCGGCACGGAGGAGAGGCTACTATATTTAAAATAATTTCCTAGGGGTAGCCGTGTAAGCGTCCTGTGGCCAATTAAAACCAGAAGTTCCGTGGAATAAATGTTGTTAGTCTTCAAGGCGCCACCGGACTTCGGTTTTATTTTGCTGCTCTTCGCAGCCTTGGAAGTGCGAAGCCACCGACCGTTACGCGAGTAGCTACCGGCCCAGCGCCGAGGCGGAGGGGGTCCCTGCCTGCCTCCCTGCCAGCCGGACATCTGCCCCCAAACGGACATGGGGAGGGAGGGAGGGGGGCCTGAGGAACCGGCGACGGTACCTGCTCACTCTCCAGCAGCACCATCGCGTCGTCTTCTCCTGGGTCCCTTCGACCAGTGTCCAGCAGCCACGAACACCAAGTCAGACTCCCCAGCAGCCACAACCGGCCCGGAAACGGAAGTCCTGTGAAGCAGGCTAGGCAGCTGACGGTGAGGGAACAGTATTCCGTTGGGTGACTCGTTGCTGCCCCCCGCAGGGCTCCAAGGGACACTGTAGCCCGTTCCGTGGCGCTGGTGGCAGTTCCGGCAGAAAAGAGTTTGGACACGTGAGCGCTCGCTCCCTTATACTGAATGAGACCGACAGACATCACAACTAGTTTTGTTGAGCCAGTTCTGGGTTTTATTTTGACCTGAGCAGGATAGTCCGGTCTCGTCAGACCTCAGAAGCTAAGCAGGTTCGGGCCTGGACTGGTTAGTACTAGGATGGGAGATTACCAAGCAGACGCAGGGTTGCGATGCAGAGGCAGGCAATGGGAAACCACCTCTGAAGGTCTGGTCCCTTCCCCCGCCTCACCGGCCCGCCAAACTTTCTCCTCCCCTTGGCGGCGTCGGCGAGGCTTTGCCGGCCCGCCAAGCTTTCCCCTTTCCCCCCTCAGCGGCTTTGTGGGCCCATTTTATCAGATGCATGGCTGGCAGATGCACACACATTGGGTATATGGGGAAACTGTAAATAGTGGGGACAAAAGGCAACTCTCTACAGACCTGGGATCAGTTCCCACCTGTGGCTGCAATATACAAGCAGTGGTTTAATCTGTGCTGGAAATAAGAAATACTTGTTGTTCAGTCGCACAGTCAAGTCCGACTCTTCGCGACCCCATGGACCACATCACGCCAGGCCCTCCTGTCTTCCGTCGTGCTCCGGAGTTTGCTTAATTTCATGTTCGTTGCCTCGATAACACTGTCTAACCATCTCATCCTTTGCCGTCCCCTTCTTCTTTGACCTTCAGTCTTTCCCAGCATCAGGGTCTTCTCCAGTGAGAGGCCAAAGTATTTGAGCTTCAGCTTCAGTATCTGGCCTTCCAGGGAACAGTCAGGGTTGATTTCTTTTAGGATTTACTGATTTGATCTCCTTGCAATCCAGGGGACTCTCAAGAGTCTTCTCCAGCACCATAATTCAAAAGAATCTATTCTTCGGCGCTC